ATATTTACAGCAGGCATGACATAAACTTCCCTGTGCATGGGAAAAGTGACATAGGACAGTACATGACATCTAAAAGGAGTATTCTTTGTCCTTGGGTTAGTTTGTTCTAATCAGTAAACATTTGAGCTCTGTCACAGGCCTTAATTATGCAAAAATGTATTCATACATACATTTGTATGTCATTTCTGACATACACGGTTTTGTTGATTTAAACAAGCTTAATCCTCTGAGAAAACACACAACTGATTGTAGAATAAGATTTAAAGACACAAACTGAGTCTGAAATTTTGAATTGTATGACTGTGTGATTCACATGACTGAAGTTCAAATTATTTTCTCTTAGAGAACCTGGAAAGCTTTTTTCTTCATCTGCTTATAGATCATCTAAGAACATACATGAATTCCTGCTTTAAATCTTGAGTATTGAAGTTTAAGCTACATAGATATTGGTCCTGAGAGCAACACAGTAACATTCATTCCATTACAGATTTCAGTTTCCATTTGTCAAACTTAGGCACAGCAGAACTAATAAACAAAACGCTGATGTGCAGAAACATATTTGGTTCCAAGTTTCAGTAAGCCAGGCTTGCATTGAAGAAATAGGAGTGCAAAACATGAGTCACCATCATTTCTGAAGGTCTTGGGAATTCTCTTTCCCAGACCCAAATGCAAATAGTATGTCAGAGAGCCCAGACTGCAATTTCTACATTCCCTACCACAGCAACATTTCCATACTCGACCAGAAATAATAATACTCTCATTTTTCTCTGCTCAAGTAAAAAAGATGTATGCTATGATCAGAGGTCTGAGAAGCTCTTGTGTTTAGCCTCTTTGCTGGTTACATTACAGACTGACATAACAATGATACACTGACCGTAAAACATTTAGGCATGATATCTTCCTGTGAAATCATACCATTGCTCATGCTCTTATTCTGAGCTACTTCAATATTGAAAGCTTCAGGGATGATCAGTTTTTACCTGAGCGTAAATTTTTCTTAGAGAAAAGTAAGTTTCCTTTTCTCAAACACATGAGGTTTGAATAAAGTGAGAAAAATGAAAAACATTCAGGATTTTGCAAAACAAATAGAGACTATTTTCTGGGAAGGCTGTGCAATGTTCAGTATTTTTTCCTCACAGTTGGGTGTGCTTTAAGCAATAAGCAACATGCCAAAGAGCTATAGCACTCTAGCATAATAGGTTTAATGCTCTCAAACCCACATGCCTCCTATGGTGAGACACATGCAGATATGATATTACATTGTGTCAGTTATTATGCAGCAGGCTTAAAATAGGACATGATTTTTATGGATAACCAGCACTTAATGTACATATAAATGACAGCATGTGTGAATATAAAATGAAGAATTCCTAACTTGAAACTTAGAATTCATCTAAAAATCTCCTCCAATATCTTATGCCCATTAAAATATGATGTTTTCCTCTTTAATTGTAAATTCAATTCTAATTAGAACAGAGTGGAATTTAAAATATGTATATATATTTCTAAAAGTATCTCTACACACCGTAACATCTGTTAAAATTTCCCTCCCACGGGAAAGCATCCACCTGTAGTTTATTATGTCTCATATATGGTTAGATTATTTCTGTACAAGATGAAAAGCTTACGAAACACGACACAGTCGACACACTCAGTCGTGCACTATTCTATTCCGTCTGATTGCGCGTAACGGGGCTAGCGTCTGATATTCGTATCCCCATTGTAGTGCATTTACAAGATGTAGGCAGCAGATGGCAGCACAAGGTGAAAAAAAATTTAAGAGTTATAAGAAAAATACAATTAACAAAATTACTGCTTTAGTCATAAACTTTTCCTTCGGTTTATAGGAAAAAAAAAAGAAAAAACAAAAAAAAACCAAAAAACCAAAAACAAAAAACAAACCAACCCAAACAGTTATTGTATGTAACCAGACAGGTACACTGTTGAAAATAGTGTCAGCAGCACTTAAGAAAGGAGGAAGAATAAAAATAGTTTCTACAATCAGGTTGCAAGGAAAGACAAATGCAAACACTCATCCCGATATCATGGGAAGAACTCAGAAGTAATAAAGCTTAGCAACTCACAAGATGAGTATTTAGTTAAGATTCTCAATGTTGTGCTGGGACTGAACTTGGAAACAAAAGCAGACAGCCTAATATATATCTGGGTCATACTGTAACTACATAAAAAACCCCAAATGTTTCACTGCAAAAACAAATTCTCATACACTTTGGTCACGCAGGAATCACAACTGAGGAATGGTGAGAGAAACTGTCCTTGACCAGTGCAACACTAGAGAGGATATCATAACTGGAATTAGTATTTTTGGTTTAAATTCTGGGAGCATCTAAATCTCATTGCAAAAATTGTTAACACAGCTTTTAAGAGCTGCAGTTTTTAGAAAACTTCCTTGGGAAAAAAAAAAACAATAGCACCTCTGCCATTCACAATTTACTTCTTTCATTAGAAAAAGTAAAATACATTTGGAGTCAACATTGGAAGTTCTACAGATATGGAATACAGATAGTCAGGATCAACCTGGAGTCAAAGTAAAATGTTTTGAGAGAAATAAAAGCTGACAAGCAATGCTAACTTAACGGGATCAGATCCTGAAACATTTTTCTTAATCTGTTCATGAAAATTCACAATTTTAAAAGGAATAATATTTTAATTAATGTCTCAGAGTATGAGTCTCCCACACATCTTCAAGAGTGAATTCCAGTTTTGTCTTAAGGATTAAAAGAAGAACACAAGAAGCACCATAGTCAAAAGTTCAGTATATAAAAAAAACACATGTATGATTCAGTGGGGCAAAAATCTATCACCTTTCTTGCAGCATGACCCACTGTGAAAAGATTCCATGCATGAGTTCGCTGAAATATTCTAGATGTTGTTACTTAACTATAGTCCACTGAATGTAGTAAAAAAACAACAAACAAACAAAAAAATGCATAAAAGATGTACACATTTCAAGCAGTGGCTTCCCTAATAATAATTCTTTAAGAATATTTAATTCTGAAATCAAGATTTCCTAGTACTCATCATAAATTTTAGCTTAACTTCCTAAGTTGTAAAGCAATGCAGTAAATTAGCAAGGAACTTCAACTCTATTTTTTAAATTTATAAAACTATAAAATATTATTCACAGAATTAAAGGTCTTTCCCTAAATATCTGAGGTTTTAAAATATAATAAAAATCAAAAGCATATGTGTAAGGCAAAAGTTATTTAAATACATATAAATGATTCAGTTTGCAATATTGTCACCTAAACAACAGAAGCTTCCCTTTCAGACTAGTAATAATGCTTGTGAGAGTGGATTTACAAGCTCATCCAAGCCTCCAGTGAAATCAGTAGCTGCAACTGAATCCCATTCTAGTGCTTAAGCCAGACCAGGTCATTTTGTACTTGTGGCTACAAATGGTGCCTAAAATAATTTTGAGAAATGAATGCATTTTGTGTGAGCCATTACAGCTACTCTGAAAAACCATCTCTGACCAGTTATTCTGGGAATAATGGATTTCTGATTACCATCGCATGGTGTGATTAAGGCTAGGTTGAAAAATATTGAAGTAAGAGAGATAGGACAGCTAAGAAAAGCAGCAGGAAATAATCACAGCTGTTTGTTGTTTTTTGTTGTTGTTGTTCCCTCCCCCCTCAGCCCCCACACACAAAGAGAAAAACAAATAGACTTTGAAGAGCAGATGTTCAAGGGCAAAAAATTGACTACAACTTCTAGGCTTTTGTAGCTATTGACCTTTGTTTTATATTTAGGAAACAAAGCGAGACAACTATCATTGACTCAAGCTTTCCCTCACTAGTTAACTTTTAAATGCATGCTGGAAAAGACTGTTGTAATTAATCTCTTGTTATTAAAATATTTAAGTTACCTAGCTACGTATTTTTTTCATAATAATCAAGATAGATTTAAAATTCAATTATTTCTGATCTTAATTGCTGAACAGTGTTATTAAGTATCTAGATGTGTGCATTAGTTACAGAAGGCAATAACATATTTGCATTCCCTGCTCTCCAAATCCAGACCAGACACTCACTGTTTTTCAGTGTTTCTCATGGCCGCTGGGGCAAAAGCATGTTGATATCCTTTTTTTTTTTTTTAAAAGGTGATTTACAACTACCATGTGATACATGCTTGCTGAATCTGAAGTTAATATTCAAAACTCATTGTTTATTTTGGAGTCTGATAAAAAAAACCCAGAACATAGTGATGTGCTAATTACAGAAACATTAACATTCTTTACTGTGTAAATATAAGTAACATAAAGACGGCACTAATGTTTCTTAATGTCCTAAATTATGTGGCTATGAACCTATACTCCACCACATGGATCCATGTTTCACAAGGCTGCCCACTCATGCACCCAGACACAGCTTTTACATTGTCAATAGAGAGTGGTCAATTGTATCAAACCCGTATAATAAAAATATAATAGTTCCAGATTCTTAAAATTAGGGTGAATGATATTCAAGCATACTTCTCATATATACAGCAATGATATTCATGCTGCATCCTGCAGAATCCTTTCCATATAAATAACATTTCTAAAATGCTTTGTAGATAATCCTGTTCTTCCTTGTCATGCCTCTGTATAAGGAGTAAGGAACACTGCTCACATATGTATGTTTATATGTTTGTGTTATGTACACACATAATCCAGTGACAAGCATGGATTTGACTAGTTGTCAGTGCATTTTTATGAAGTGCCAAATAACTTGTGCATGTATACACGTACACAGACATGTTTTTTTAAAAATAATATTTACTAATTTACTAATTAATTTGCAAATAAATTTTTAATTCATACTGAATTTTAAGTACTGGAAAAGTTGCTGAATATTTCATATAATAAAAATTTAAAGTGACAATAAGAATTTAAATTGTCCTGGTTTTCCATTAATTAGTGAGTCAATTTCCACCAAGATTATCACATCAAAGTCCAGAACAGCAGGGCATTATCAGATTTCTTTTATTTTTAAATACATATCACAGAATCACAGAACTGTAGGGGTTGGAAGGGACCTCCAGAGATCATCGAGTCCAACCCCCCTGCCAAAGCAGGTTCCCTACAGCAGGTCGCACAGGTAGGCATCCAGGCAGGTCTTGAACATCTCCAGAGAAGGAGACTCCACCACCTCCCTGGGCAGCCTGTTCCAGTGCTCCGTCGCCTCACCGTAAAGAAGTTCTTGCGCACATTTGTGCAGAACTTCCTGTGCTGCAGTTTCCGGCCGTTTCCCCTTGTCCTGCCTCCACTCACCACTGAAAAGAGTCCGGCCTCGCCATTCTGCCCCCCACACCTTAGATATTTATAGACCTGGATCAGGTCCCCTCTCAGCCTTCTTTTCTCAAGGCTAAACAGACCCAGGCTTTCTTCATAGGAGAGATGCTACAGGCCCTTCACCATCTTTGTGGCCCTCCGCTGGACTCTTTCCAAGAGATCCCTGTCTTTTTTGTACTGGGGAGCCCAGAACTGGACGCAGTACTCCAGATGAGGCCTCACCAGGGCAGAGTAGAGGGGGAAGATCACCTCCCTTGACCTGCTGGCCCTGGTCTTTTTAATGCATCCCAGGATGTCATTGGCCCTCTTGGTCACAAGGGCACACTGATATGAATTTTAATCTTGAATTTATATAGTGTTTAAACAATTTTCCTATATATTAAAGTCCTTAAAGTGAGGTTAATGTCTTCTGAGTTCTTCAGGAACTAAACTTGAATCCCTACCTGTCTTATAATGCCCATCCTCACCACCCTCAGTCTGTACAAGATGCCTTGCTTTAATTGCTCATTGTTTCTGATGCATCATGAGTTTGATACAGTTTGTTCAAAAATACTGCACATTATTACATAATATAACTAATTGCAGTTGTACTCTTGTTTACATATTAATACACACAAAATAAGTTGTCATTGGAGACTGAGCATCTGGGATTCTTGAAGATCTGCATTTGCACACAGCAAAAAGGAAGTAAAAATCATCAAAACAGTCCCTCAGGATTAAAAAATAGATTGCTGAGTTTCCTGTGTAGAATAAACCTATTACTACACCAGCTACTCCAATAAAAAAGCAAAATTATGACAAGAATCTCCCTTACAGAGAGAACACCACATCTGAGGATTTTCATGGATGATCTCTACATGGAAACCAACAGGTATCAGAGGCAACCCTGACATCTTTTCTAGGCAGTGTTCCCCAGTGATGCTATTTACCCTTTTTAAAATACCATCCTGAGTAGAGTCCAATGCTAAACAAGACCAGAAGAGTAAGAGAGCCCCTTTTCTACCAGCATGAGATGGCAGTCTAGTACCAAACAGCAAGCTGTCTAGCTGCACAGACCAGATGAGCAAAAGCAATAGTAATACCCAAGGTTAAGGACTGAGAATTTTTTTCACCTAGTGCATTAAAAAAAACATATGCTTTCAAACATAGCTCGCAGGTAGAGAGGCAGCTAATATTTTGCACACTTTGATCTACAACACATACTAGCACTCAGTTTGTAGAGTACAGAGACAAGAAATCCAAAAGGAATAGAAGATAGCTGAATCCAGTCTTTACTCAGTTTTCAGGAGAGCTACACTCAAGTAAAAACTATATGAATTTTTACACTCAATTTTGTTGTGGTAAAAATGAGAATATGGTCTTTTTCTGAATACATTTGGTAAATAAATTCCAAAAAAAAAGATCAGGAAATATTAATGCTTTTTCAAAAAATCCCCAAATTCCACTGTAGAATATGATAAACTGCAGCAAGCAAAACTTTAGGAAAGGAAGTTGCTTGGAGAAAGTTTAGATTCACTTATAAATGTTAACAAAACAGGACTCTGAATTGTAGCTCTACAACCCACACAATGTTTAGAGTTACTCTACAAAGTAAAAAATAAACATTTATTTACAATCACATACTTTAAAATATATATCATAAAATAATAGTCCTGTATACGTTCAGCAAAATATATTCAGCACAGTGGAAAAAAAAAATCAAAAAATAAATAGTTATTTAAAGAGAATTAACACATACTGTCCAACTTCAAGGAAAATAATCCACACCTCTGCAAAGCCAGGAGATAAGAGTTTCCCAAATATCCACAGAGACACCCAAATTTAAAAAGTGATGTTTAATACCTCAGAGTGTGTCTTCTCTCTTCTCAGGATCTGGAAAATGGGATATTACCTTCCAGCATGACATATGTACTTATTTGAGAATTTGTGCTGCATTGTGTGCAGTGACGGAGTGCAGAGCACTGTATTTGCTATAGTTATGCGCTGATGATGAATTACAAGTGAATTTATTTTTGTACAAGTGAACAATCCTAAATGTAAATGTTTATTAGAACTTTTGTTACTGCCTCAGTCAAAGGCATTCATTAACTTGCTATTATTGCAATGTAGTAAGTGACAGTTTGCCTTTATTTTACTTTCTATAAACATATATATTTATGCAAATCACACTTCATATTTAAATTTTTTATCCTAGAGTTTCTGCTGGTCCAGTTACCAGCAGTGGTAGTACTGATGATAGAGCATCCTCAAATGTGGTGTTCTCTCTGTAAGGGAGATTTTTCAGCTGAAGTTCTCTCTGCTTTGTAAGATACTGGAAGGAGTAAGCACAATTAGGAGCAGAATTATGCCAGGAGTTTCTGCAATATTCAAGTTTTTCTGCACAAGTGAGTGCTATGAAGAAGGATTCTTCAGTAGATGGACAATGGCAAAAGATAGAACCATTCTTCTGAGAGCTATAAATGGATACAGAACGCTGAGAACTTGATTACCTACAATCTGAATAAACTATACAGCAGAGTGCCTGAGAAATCAGCAAATCCTCCCTTATGTGAGTGGTAAAATACAGAAAAGCACATTAAATATACAGAGGAAGAGCGTATGCAAGCAACCCCACTAGCTGCTTACAAGAATTTATTTTAAAAGGTGGAAATAGTGCCTGTGTACTGTATAACAGGAATACCTCAATTTGAGTATGTTGCTCAAGGCTGGCACAAGTCCCTACAGAAGAGTGCTCTAGCATTTTTGAAACTGCTTGACAAAAGTTCTTTGCCATCTAAACTCCCAGATTTGTACCTCGGGAATTATAATTCCAGCTCGTGCACACTGACACCTGCAGGAAAGCTTTTCCCTGCTCAGAGGCTTCCCTCCAATCCCAAGTGTATGCAACTGCTCACCAAATTTGTCCTTGGAATGACATTTTCCCCTCAACAGGGCAATACCTCTTCTTGTAGTAAACAACAATATAGCCTTTCAAGAGGACTATGAGGACAGAGTTTGGGCATCATAAATCAAGCTAAGTGATTCAACTATCTGCCCCCCCCACCCCACATCTCCATACTTCAAGAGATTTAGGAACTATTCCAAGTGACTCCACTACAGGAAACATTATCTTCCAAAGTAAAATAGAATAGCTCTATTAAGCTAGTTTCTCAAAGAAATATTCAGCTTATCACAATCAACACCCAATAATAGCATGTTCTTATACGTCAAACTTTCAATTTGCTTAAGGATTCTCTGCCACTCGGAAAGCACCTTGAAACAGCTGGCATTAGAAGTCCTTTCTCTTCAGAGTCACATGCACAACTCTGTATGACCAATGTAGGGAATAGTATAAAATTACTCTATTTCATTTCCAGATTAAGACTGTGTGTAATGTCAAAAACAATCTTTGTACTCACCCCAGCCTTTGGTTTAGCTCCAGAAGTGGCTGCTGAACAGAAGGATGTTTGATCAGGAGTATGGATGTTAGGAGACAGGCTTGTTTGAGAATGTCCTACATCTGCTCCAATTTCAGAACCAGATTCACCATCCTGGTAAAAGTTATAACTCTCTTTAGTAATGTGAATATGAAATAAAAGTTTGTCTTTTAAATAATGTGTATATTTACATAGAATCACTCAAAATTATATGCTTAATTCCCAGTATAACTGTAATTCCACCTATTCTTTTCTATCACCTAGACATTCTCTTGCTTTCCTATTCAACGTGGTAGTTTGCATTAACTGCTGTTATGAAATTATAAATCACCACTAACATCAAAGCTAAAACTCCCCTAAACAGTAGAATGCAGGGTAAGAAAAATCAGACTTCTGCAGCCCTGAACTGACATTTTTCTCTAATGTTCAGCGTTTCCTGTGTGCTCCCACCTTGTCTCCCACTACACTGCAAGCTCAGTAAACATCTGTAAGCTATTACACAGCTGAAATGACATCATTGTACCGCAGTTCATACTATTCAGAGGTACAGCTCCCTAGTTTTTTGGGCTCAGTAAGCACTTATAAGCTACTTGTAAGAGCATTTTAACTAGAAATAACTTAAATAACTTTTAATGACACTGGTTACTTTTTTTTTTTTTTTTTTTTTTAATAAAAAGAAGAAATAATGTTTTATTTTTGAGGAAGTAAAAAGAAGAGAATGTTTGATTTAGTGTACAGAGTAAAGACCGGCGCTTGTATTGCTTGCAGATACACTGCAACATTTAACCAGCACTGAGTAGGCCATGTCAAGGAACTGCCCTATGCTGGCCAGATTATTAGCTGAAATGCAGCCTGTGAATATAGTGCTTGCAAAAGAGCCTGAGCTATTAACCCCAGCCAACACCCTGTGGATAAAACCTCAGTTTCCTAATATCATGTTCCTAGAGTAGCTGAAATAAGGAGCAGAAATATCTCAGGAGCTCCTGAACTGGAAATAAGTGGCGGTCCTTTGATTCATTAATTCCAGTTAAGCGCCTTTCAAAAAGAAGCTGCAGATTAGACAGATGTCTCTGTACCTTTTTCTGGTGGGCTTCTTTGCAGCTTGGAAACAGGCACCACCTCTGATTGTCTTACAAGCTTACTTACATGGATTGTCCCAACCCCCTATTTTGTTGTATGAAGTTACCTAAAATGCTGACATTCATTAGCAAGATGAGTCATATTTGAGCTTTCCTCTTCCATCAGTGCACAAGGAGATGATGTGAATACATTGAAATCCAAAGGGAAAATTCTAACTATCAGAGGTATATTTACGTAATATTCTATAAAAATGATTATTTCTATCTTCCAAAACCACTTAAACCTAAATACTGCTTTCCTCATCTATAGACCACTCACTAGACTATACTGCAAAAATGAAATCTGACTTTAATGGGAAAAACCTCTCATATTTTAGAAGAAAATATCACCAGTAAGAACAAACAATCTGAATATAAGCCTAGATATTTTGGGGTAGTATTTCTCAGGTTTCTTAAATTGAAAAACAGCTGCTACACATGTGAATAAAATTAACAGGAAGCCTGCATGAGAACACCTTGGGTCAGTCATTTCAGGTTCTTTACTGCTACT